CTATTCTGGAGAATGTTCCATGGGCACTAGAGAAGAATGTGTATTCCGTTGCTTTGGGATGGAATGTTCTGAATATGTCTGTGAAGTCCATTTGGTCCAGTGTGTCATTTAAAGTCTTTATTTCCTTGTTGATCTTTTGCTTAGATGATCTGTCCATTTCAGTGAGGGGGGTGTTAAAGTTCCCCACTCTTATTATATTGTTGTTGATGTGTTTCTTTGATTTTATTATTAATTGACTTATATAATTGGCAGCTCCCATGTTAGGGGCATAGATATTTATAATTGTTAGATTTTCTTGTTGAATAGACCCTCTAAGTAGAATATAGTGTCCTCCCTCATCTCTTATTTTACAGTCTTTGGTTTAAAATCAAATTTCTGATATAAGGATTGCCACCGCAGCTTTCTTCTGGTGTCCATTAGCATGGTAAATGGTTTTCCACCCCCTCACTTTCAATCTGGGGGTGTCTTTGGGTCTAAAATGAGTCTCTTACAGACAGCATATCGATGGGTCTTGTTTTTTAATCCAATCTGATAGCCTGTGTCTTTTGATTGGGGCATTTAGCCCATTTACATTCAGGGTAACTATTGAAAGATAGGAATTTAGTGCCATTGTATTGCCTGTAAAGTGACTGTTACTGTATATTGTCTGTGTTCCTTTCTGGTCTATGTTACTTTTGGCTCTCTCTTTGCTTAGAGGACCCCTTTCAATATTTCTTGTAGGGCTGGTTTCATGTTTGCAAATTCCTTTAGTTTTTGTTTGTCCTGGAAGCTTTTTATCTCTCCTATTTTCAATGACAGCCTACCTGGATATAGTATTCTTGGCTGCATATTTTTCTCATTTAGTGCTCTGAAGATATCATGCCAGTCTTTTCTGGCCTGCCAGGTCTCTGTGGATAGATCTGTTGCCTGTTGCCAATCTAATGTTTCTACCATTGTAGGTTACATATCTCTTCTCCCGAGCTGCTTTCAGGATTTTCTCTTTGTCTCTGAGACTCATAAGTTTTACTATTAGATGTCAGGGTGTTGACCTATTTTTATTGATTTTGAGGGGGGTGGTCTGTGCCTCCTGGATTTTGATGCCTGTTTCCTTCCCCAAATTAGGGAAGTACTCTGCTATAATTTGCTCCAATATACCTTCTGCCCCTCTCTCTCTTTCTTCGTCTTCTGGGATGCCAATTATTCTCATGTTGTTTCGTCTTATGGTATTGCTTATCTCTCGAATTCTGCCCTCGTGACCCAGTAGTTGTTTATCTCTCTTTTTCTCAGCTTCTTTATTTTCCATCATTTGGTCTTCTATATCACTAATTCTCTCTTTTGCCTCATTTATCCTAGCAGTTAGAGCCTCCATTTTGGATTGCACCTCATTAATAGCCTTTTTGATTTCGACTTGCTTAGATTTTAGTTCTTTTAAGGGTTTCTCTAATATCTTCCATGCTTTTTTCAAGCCCAGCTAGTATATTTAAATTCGTCATTCTTCACTCTAGTTCCCACATTTTACTAATGTCCGAATTGATTAGGTCCCTGGCAGTCAGTACCGCCTCTTGTTCTTTTTTTTGAGGTGATTTTTTTGGTTTTGTCATTTTGTCCAGAGGAGAATAGATGAATGAGAGAACAAAATGCTAACAGGGTAACAACGACCCCAGAAAAATATACACTAAACAAATCAGAAGAGACCTGAAACCAGGGGAAAAGAAAGGGAAAGAAAGAAAAAAGAAAAAGAAAAAAAAAAGAATATGATCAAATATGATCAGGCTGGTGTATAGATCAGTGCCACACACTAGATTTTGGGCATATTTTGGTCTGTTAGAAGAAACTGCCTCCCAAAATTTTAAAGAAAGAAAAACGCATATATCTATAAAAATAAGGGTAAATATGATGAAGCAATGGAATATGACTGTAAAGATGAAAATTTTAAAAGATTTTATAAAAGGAATTGATAAGAAGTTTGTTGAGAAAAGAAAGAAAAAAAATTTTTTTTTAAAGGGGGAGAGAATATGATCAGGCAGGAGACTAGAATAAAGCCATACACTAGAGATTAAGGTATATTTTGGTCTGTTAGAAGAAACTATCCCAAAAATTTAAAGAAAGAACAACTTTTATATATATATATATATATATATATATATATCAAAAATAAGGTTAACTACAATGAAAGGATAGAATATGACTCTAAAAATGAAAACTAGAAGAGATTTTTTAAAAAGGGATAGATAAGATGTTGGTTGAAAAAAGGAAAAAGAAAAATTTAAAAAAAATAGAAAGTTAAAAAAATTAACTTTGAAAGACTAAAGAATCATGGGAAAAAAGGCATGAATTCTATGTGCAGTATTCCCCTAGTGCTGGAGTTCTGCCGTTTTCATTGATCGGTAAACTTGGTCTTGGCCGGCTGTTCTTGCTGATATTCTGGGGGAGGGGCCTGTTGCCGTGGTTCCTAAATGTCTTTGCCGGAGGTGGAATTGCCCCTGCCCTTGCCTGTCTGGGCTAAGTAATCTGCTCGGGTTTGCTCTCGGGAGCTTATGTTCCCTGAAAGCTTTCTGTACAGCTTTGGAGGACGAGAGTGCAAATGGAGGCCTCCCAATCTCCGCCCGGAGGAGCTGAGAACTCAGGGCCCCACTCCTCAGTGTGCCCCCAGAGAAAAGCAGTCAATCACTCCTATCTCCCAGTCTCCGGCCGCACTCCGTGCTCACCTGGCCTCTGACCGAGTGTTTCTATCTCTGGCACGTGACCCCATGTGGAGTCTCCAAACCCAGCAGATCCCTGTGGTGCATTCCTGCGCTGCTCCTCCCAGGGGAGGAAAGGGAGTCTCCCCAGATCTGACACTTATTGGGTCCCTGCTGGAAGAGCAGTGGCCCGACTGTGCCGGGCATCAGGGTTTATGGCAACCCCAAGCTGAGAGCTCGCTCCTCGGCTCCGTCTCTGCAGCCGGCTTCCCCACTTGGATACCTGGGAGCTCTGCCGCACTCAGGTACCCCGGTCTTTCTGTGACCCCGAGGGTCTTGAGACCACACTGTCCTAGCAACAGTTCCACCCCCTGCTTAGCCACTGGAGCGACGTCCCTCAGTGGAGCCGACTTCTCAAAGTTTTGATTTTGTGCTGCGCTGCTCTATCACTTGCCAGAAGCGGCTGATGGAGGCTCCCTCTCCCACAGTCTTATCTTCCCGAATATTGCCTCGGATTCACTTCTCTGCACGTCCTACCTTCCAGAAAGTGGTCACTTTTCTGTTCAGAGAGTTGCTGCTATTCTTTTCTTTGATCTCCTGTTGAGTTCGTAGGTGTTCAGAATGGTTTGATACCTATCTAGCTAAATTCCTGGGACCAGACAAAATTTAGGTCTCCTACTCCTCTGCCATCTTGCTCCTCCTCTGTTCAATCCATTTTGAATTAATTTTTGTATATGGTGCAAGAAAGTGGTTGTTTCATTCTTTTGCTTGTTGCTGTCCAGTTTCCCCAATACCATTTATTGAAGAGACTTTATCTTATTTTATTAAAGATCTAAGTAATGAAGTAGATAATGTTAGATGGAAAAAATCATGACAGTTTAAATCATGGATCATATGAAACAACACCTATTCTTTCTTTTTGAAGCTTGAAAGTCAATAGCATGGTAAAAGGACTTGAGCCATTTATTTGTCATTAGGGAAATTTAATCAAAACCACAATGAGATACCACCTCATACCCACTAAGATCAAACACTATTGGTGAGAATGTAAAATGGTGTAAAAACTTGGAAAATGGCATGGCAGTTTCTCAAAAGGCTAAACATAGCGTTGCCATATGATCTAGCAATTCTACTTCTAAGTGTATACTCAAGAAAACTGTAAATCTATATCTACACAAAAACTTGTACATGAATATTCATAGCAACATTATTCATATTTGCCCAGTGTGGAAATAACCCCAAATATCCATTGACTGGTGAGTGAATAAACAAAATGTGGTACTCTAAATTCATTATTTCATTTTATTATTCAACAATGAAAAATAATGAAGTAATAATAAATGCTACAACATGGATAAACTTTAAAAACATGCTAAGTAAAAGAAACACAATCACAAAAGACCATGTATTGAGTGATCCCATTTATAAGAAATGTCCAGAATAAGCAAATCCGTAGAGGCAGAAAGTAGATTAGTAGTTGCCAGGGACTGGGAAGAGCGGGGAATGGAGGGTGACCACTAGTGGATATGGAATTTCTTAGGATGATGAAAATGTTCTATAATTAAATAATGCTAATGATCGTGTACTTTTGTGAACATACTAAAAACCACTGAAGAGCACGCTTAGGAAAAGAAGCAAAAGAAACTAAATAGTTTCCTGAGGTCCCTGCTTCTCCAGCAGCCCTCTCAAGTATAGTGTTTTTGTCTCACATCTCACCTTATAGCTAGGAAAGTCCCTGTAGTTATGTCCAGACAATTTCTTCTCTTGCAGAGCCCTGGCCTTGTGAGGCTTCCGCTTTCTGGATATACCATCCTGTTCCTTGCTCATTACTATCATCTCTGAACATCTTAGTGACTCCCCATCATTCCTGGAAGATATTAGCCTCTGGATCACTTCCATCTGCTTCAAATTAATAACTCCTTCCTCTCTCATGACCATTTCCTTAATTTCACCTCGGCTACCCATTCCCATATACTGAGGTTTTATTGATTAAAGAAAGACTAGTTTTCAGAAGTACAGAGTACTTATTTAGATGATAAAAGTTCAATAATGGTTACGGTAGCCCTGTTGGCAGAGGATATTAGATCCTGTTTTGTTAAACTATACTGTGTGCCTTCCCTCCACTTGTAATCCCTTTGAGGAAAATATAATAGATTTGGAATTTAGAGTAAGAGAGCTATACTAAAAAGTTATTGGAAGTCTGGAATACATGTTTTACTTATTTTTAGTATCCTTGTGTATTTCGTATTTTTATTTTTTCTTTTAGAGGTTATAATGTTTGTAAAACGATTGAACAGGTGACTAAAAACTAAGTTGTGATGTTTTTTTATTTTGGTTTAGCAGAAACAAACCACTCTTGAGCAGCCTGCCTTTTCAGTTTCAAAGCAGTCACCACCAATATCAGCACCTAAGAGGATTGATCCAAAATCTATTTGTAAAACACCCAGTAGCAGTGCCTTGGATGATTACATGAGCTGGTAATTACTTTTGGTGTTTAGTTTGGCAAAATAGAAATAATATGGGCTTCAGGGACAAATAGATCTATAGTTAAATCCTGCTTTGTTACTTTAAAGAGTTTCCAAACTTCTGTTATTTTTCTGAGCATCAGTTTTTTCAGCAGTAAAAGAGGAGGGGAGGGTGACTACAATACATTTTTAAGGATTGTTTTGAAAGTCTCTGTTATATTATAATCTGTACCTATAACCTATAAATACTCCAAATACTTAAAACTTCTTGATAATTATACATTGTCACATGAATATCTTTCTGTAACTGAGAGAGATATTTTAAAGTTTAGCATTCTTAGACTGGATAAAGTAGGTACATTTTATAGCAAAGGAGGTGTTAATTGGAATGTAATAGTTTCTGAAAGAGGTTGGTTGTATAGGTCACATTGTTCTGGGAGTATTCAAAAGTAAAAGACTTGAGTGGATGGGAATGAGGGATGGGTGAAGAAATTGGATGGTCAGTGCTGATTGACAGGAAATAAGGGTATTGCAAAAGCAAATTAATGATATTTCAAAGAAAGGAAATAAAGGAATGTGGCACATCATATCATTCAACTAGTGGCTATATTTTTAATGTCTTAGAGAATAACTTAAGTCCATGATGCCTTTTGCTTTTCATTTTCATAATGTACTCTTTGATCTTAATTAGAACTGGCCTTATAAAAGAGGTTTTATAACCTGGTCTCTTAACCAATTTAATACAGTTTTGCTATATATTACCTCATTTTATTATATGTTGGAATATTTTAAAGAATGGTTGCTAACTAGAATCGTGATGTAGTTATTTTTGTGAAGTTGTGTTATTTATTGTCTACAAATATTTGTAGAATTCCTTTGTGCCAAGCACCATTCTAGGTGTTGAAGATGTGATAGTGAATAAAACAAGCAAAGCACAGCTTTAAGCTCAAAAGCCAAACTCCTCTGATGTAATTAATTGGCTTTCAGATATTTCTAGCAGGCTATTGTAGAACATACTTATTAAAAAGCGCTCATAAGCTCTATGACCAGCCGTAGGCTAATGTTTGCCTTGGCTAAATTCTCATAAAATAACCCCAACTCCATATTTTAATGCCATCTTATTAATTTTACTAGTAAGAATTTCTTGTCTAGGAGTAAAAAATTACTTTCAGAAAGAACTGCCCCCAAATGAAATTTCTGGTGATGGTGTATCTAGAATAATTTAACTATATTATGAAAACTGACTTGGATTCTGTTTGATGTAATACATTTAAGTTTATATGCATCTTTTAAAATCACACAAAAACTGAATCAGAATCTTGTTTTTACAATTTTAATGTTTTAAACTAAAACCATATCTTTCCTAGTTTTAGAACTCCTGTTGTAAAGAATGACTTCCCACCTGCTTGTCAGTTGTCAACACCTTATAGCCAACTTGCCTATTTCCAGCAGCAACGGCAGCAAATACCTGTTACTCCACTTCAAACTTTACAGGTTTGATAAGCTTTATTTATGATGGTATATGATTTAGGTATGATCAAATCCTAAGATTTTATTTTCACAGCAGCTAGTTGTTAGGAATGGCCTTAAGAACTTGTCCATTTTTAGTTCTATGAGGCAAAACTCTTTTCTAATATCTTCCTAAGGGTACTTTGTGACTTTGAGAGGTTAGTTATTAAAGAAGTGAATGAAGTTTTTCTCACTAACTAGGCCAAAAGATCCAGTTTGAATAGCTAGACAAAATTTCTCTTGTAATTTAGGTTACTTTTTATTCGATTTTACTATTTAAGTCTGCTATTACTGAGCAGCCTCATTTCATTGGCTGATTAATATGAGATGCTACTAAAATATATACAATGGAATATTATGCAGCCATCAAAAGGAACGAAATCTTGCCATTTGCAACAATGTGGATGGAACTAGAGGGTATTATGCTGAGTGAAATAAGTCAATCAGAGAAAGACATGTATCATATGATCTCACTGATATGAGGAATTCTTAATCTCAGGAAACAAACTGAGGGTTGTTGGAGTGGTGAGGAGTGGGAGGGATGGGGTGGCTGGGTGAGAGACACTGGGGAGGGTATGTGCTATGGTGAGTACTGTAAATTGTGTAAGATTGATGAATCACAGACCTGTACCTCTGAAACAAATAATACATTATCTGTTAAAAAAAAAAGAAGAAGAAGATAGTAGGAAGGGAAAAATGAAGGGGGGGAAATCGGAGGAGGAGACAAACCATGAGAGACTATGGATTCTGAGAAACAAACTGAGGGTTCTAGAGGGGAGGGGGGTGGGGGGATGGGTTAGCCTGGTGATGGGTATTAAAGAGGGCATGTACTGTATGGAGCACTGGGTGTTATACACAATGAATCATGGAACACTACATCAAAAACTAATGATGTAATGTATGGTGATTAACATAATAAAAAATAAGAGAAAAATTTTTGCTGGTGAAGCAATTGTACTGCCATCTAGAGAAAAAAACACTCTCCTGATATCAGTACTAAAATTAGTTTCTAATAACTATCTGAGAGGCAGCTTAATAGTGATAGAAAGCATGAACTCTGAAGGGAGATTTTCTGGCCATGAATCTTGGCCTCACTACTTACCAGCTGTTGACCTTTTGTAAGTTACTTAAATTTTCCGTGGCCATTTCATCACCTATAAAATGGGAATAACAGGCGTCTGGGTCCTCAGTCGTTAAGCGTCTGCCTTCGGCTCAGGTCATGATCCCAGGGTCCTGGGATCGAGCCCCGCATCGGGCTCCCTGCTCTGCGGGAAGCCTGCTTCTCCCTCTCCCACTCCCCCTGCTTGTGTTCCCTCTCTCGCTGTGTCTCTGTCAAATAAATAAATAAAATCTTTAAAAAAAAAAAATGGGAATAACAAAGCTACCTACCCTATAGGATAATTGTGAAGATTGAATTAACTAATATATATATATATATATGTAACTTTTACAAAAGGGTCTGCTACTTAGTAAGTTATAAAAGTTAGTAGCAATTGTTATTTAAATAAACAGCCAAAAAGAACAACAACCAAAAAAACCATACAGGTAATTAGCTATTTCAAATTAAGAGAAAAAATTTAGCTGACAGAAAGAACAGTGGTTATCAGTGTCTAGAGAGAGGCAGGAATGGGGAGTTACTTACTGTTTAATGGGTGTAGAGTTTCAATATGAGATGATGGATGATGGTAATGTTTGCACAACAGTGTGAATGTACTTTATCTTAATGCCACTGAGTTGTGTACTTAAAAATGGTTAAAATGCAAATTTTTTGTTATGTGTATTTTACAATTAAAAAAGAACAAAAAAGGGGCACTTGGGTGGCTCAGTTGGTTAAACGTCCAACTCTTGGTTTCTGCTCAGGTCATGATCTCAGGTTCCTGAGATCAAGGCCCATGTTGGGCTCCACGGTCAGCAGGGAGTCTGTTTCTCTCCATCTTTCTCCCTCACCTCCCCTTGCTCGCTCTCTTTCTTTCTAAAATAAGTATCGCTTTTAAAAAATAAAAAAAGGACAAGAAAGCTGACAATATTCTATGGAAAGAGGAATAGTTTGTTTGTTTTTAAGATTTTATTTATTTATTCATGAGAGACAGAAAGAGGCAGAGGCAGAGGGAGAAGCAGGCTCCCCGCAGAACAGGGAGCCTGATGTGGAACTTGATCCCAGGACCCTGGGATCATGACTTGAGCCGAAGGCAGACATTTAACCGACTGAGTCACCCAGGCACCCCAAGAAGAATAGTCTTCTGAGGATTGAAGCAGAATAATAAATTACAAAGGAGAGAAAGATGATCAGGTTTGCCTACATACATTGATTCAAAACACATTTATTGAGCTATTACTCATGTCAGACCCTGTTTGAGTTGATATCTATAAGTCAAGTCATGACCAAGTGAAGTAGCCAGGAGCTTTCTAGAAAAGGCCAGTGTCAGGAAACTGAAAAGGGGCTAGAGTGTGGCTAGAGCTCAGGCAGGGGCTAGGTGATCCTTAGGGTTCTGCTGGACCCTTTTTATTTATTTATTTATGTATGTATGTATGTATGTATGTATGTATGTATGTATGTATGTATGTGTGTGTGTATGTAAATGAGTAGGCTCCTCGCCCAGTGTGGAGTCCAACCTGGGGCTCAAACTCAAACCCCTGAGATCAAGAGTCTGATGCTTAACCAACTGAGCCACCCAGGTATCCCTCTGCTGGGCCCTTTAAATTTTAACCTGAGAGGGATGAGAAGCTGTGCAACAGCCGGTAGCAGGGAAGTGAAGTGATCTTATTTGCATTTTGAAAAAATTACTCTGGCCACAGTGAGGAGGATGGACCAAGGGAGATGTGGAATGACCTGTGTAGGAAACTGAGCTTCACACTGGTATTGAATCAAGTAAGTCAGAATTACTTTACTCTAAAAACTGTCAGCAGGGGGCGCCTGGGTGGCTCAGTCCTTAAGCCTCTGCCTTCGACTCAGGTCATCATCCCAGGGTCCTAGGATTGAGTCCCACATCGGTCTCCTTGCTCAGTGGGGAGCCTGCTTCTCCCTCTGCCGGCAGCTCCCCCTGCTTGTGCACTCTCTCTGACAAGTAAATAAATAAAATCTTAAAAAAAAAAAAGAAAGAAAAAAAGGAAAAGAAAACATACTTCATGACTCAACCGTGTTTTTCAACCCTAGAAGTTAAAGAAATTAGCATCTTTTTATATTATGTAAAAGGAGATTACAAGAGAGTTCTACCATTTGGAATCTAAAGCAGGACTTGGTTAAATTGAGGTTTATTCAGACCTTGTTTCAACTTAATCAGCTAATAAGATGCTCTTTGTGTCTTCAGCTTCTTTGTCAGCTTGGAATGACTCTTTTCACTGCACTCCATCCATGCAAAGCATTTATAGGTCCACAGAGAGCTCTAGCATAAGGGGAGGGAAGAAGGGGCACATTGCAGTAGGACATCAGTTAGAAGTTTGCTGAGGTGGATGCTGAAGTTCAGATTAACATGTTGAAGAGCACCCAGCAGAAAAGGGGCATTGCTGAAATTTGCATTTGTCTGATTGACTCTGGAGCTCTAAGCACCTTAGCACACTGCTTTCTTTATAATGTAATGCTAAATGAGGAGAAAGAATATAGATATAATTGTCTATATATGTAAGTGTAAAGAGGTTTATATAAGAAAAAAGAATAAATAAGGTGAAAAGTAATAGCTCGTGAGTTTGTATATTGGAAGAGTTCTTAAATCTCCTATTTATTGATTGATTTTTTTTTTTTAAAGATTTTATTTATTTATTTGACAGGGAGAGACACAGAGAGAGAGGGAACACAAGCAGGGGGAGTGGGAGAGGGAGAAGCAGGCTCTCCATGGAGCAGGGAGCCCGATGTGAGGCTCGATCCCAGAACCCTGGGATCATGACCTGAGCTGAAGGCAGACACTTAACCGACTGAGCAACCCAGGTGCCCCAATCTTCTATTTATTTTATGTTTCTAAAAAGTACAGGTGAACTAATGTAACATTGTATGTCAACTATACTTAAATTCAAAACAATTAAAAAAAAAAAGAATTAGGGGCACTTGGGTGGCACAGTCAATTGAGCGTCCAACTCTTGGTTTCAGTTCAGGTCATGATCCTAGAGTCCTGGGATCAAGCCCCGCGTTGGTCTCCCCGCTCAGTGGGGAGCCTGCTTCTCCCTCTCCCTCTGCAGCTCCCCCTGCTTCTACACGCACACGCTCTCTGTCAAATAAATAAATCTTTTTAAATTAATAAATAAATTTAAGAAGTAAAGGCAAGTTAGAGGGGGATACCTTGGAAGTTTATATATTAAATTTATTTCTTTGACTAAAATAGAGTAAAATTCCTCTTTAAAATATTGTCTGACATCTAATTACTTAAAATTTAAGATAATTTCAAAATTGGAAGCATTTCACTGTACTAAATACAAGCTAATTTCTCATGCATATTCTTTGCACCTTTGAATCTTTATATTTTTTAATTATTTAGATTTCAGCATCCTCTTCAACAAATGAATGCATTTCAGTTAAAGGAAGAATCTATTCTATATTGAAGCAGATAGGAAGTGGAGGCTCAAGTAAGGTAAGTATCTTAAATATTTAAGAGAGAAAAATATTTGTCTTTTTACCTTTGTCTTTTTACCTTTTGGGGCTCTTTTTTCTTAGCACCTGGGGGGCCTGTATTGCTTTTGAGCCAAAAAGTCCTTCTCATCCCCTGCTCCCATTCCCTCTCTCCAACAAATGACATATCTCTTTAGGCCTATCTCTTAATTTCAATTCTCTGTTCTTCCCTCTGATGTCCTGTGCTTCCAAATTTCTTCTCTAAATGACATTAGTATTGACTTCAGGATGGCAAATGAAGCTGTGTATTATCACAAGCAATCTTGTGTAAGTAATATTTTGGGATGATTCAGCAAGATATTTGACTAATACTTTTAGTTTTTTGAGTTTTTCTTTTCAAAAACAGAGTTTAGTAATGTGAATTTCTGGAATTGGAATGGATCATTTCCTAAATTTATCTGAGTTCTAAATTTATACAGTTCTACTTTTCTGGGTGGAAGGCATCTCAAAAGAGTTGTCTACACTTAACCATCTTCAGTTCTCCTCACTGTTTTCTTAAATCCATTTAAGTCATATTTTTATCTTCATCATTCACCAAAACAGTTGTTATCAGGATCACCAGTGATCTCCATATTTTTGCCAAATCTAATTTTAGCTTTAATTGTGGGTTACTCAGCATTTGGGACAGTTGATTGTTCTTCCCTTGTTGAAACTTTTTTTTGCCCCCATTTGGCCTCTCTCAGTTTTCCTGTTCTCCAACTGGCCATTCCTTTCCAGTCTTCTTCATGTCCCTTATCTTAATGGCACAGTGCTCCAGGTCTCAGTCCTTGATCTCTTCTCTTTCTAAACTCACTTCACTCTTTTGGTGTTGTCCATTCTTGTGGTTGTAAATACCATGTATATGCTGATAATTCCCAAACATATTTGTAGCTCAGACCTCTCCCTTGAATTCCAGACTTTATACTCAGTCTGACTGCTCTGTTTCTCTTCTTGGCTGTCTACTAGGTATTTAAAACTTAATATATCCCAAACATAACTCTGGCTCCAGAGTCTTTCCCAGTTCAGTAAATGGTAACTTCGTTCTTCCACTAGCTAGGCCAAAAACTCTGGAATCATTGACTTCACTTTCTTTCTCACATACATCCAGCCAATCAGCAAATCTTGTTGGTTCTACCTCAAGAGTATATCCAGCATCTGACTATTTCTCACCACCTCCACTGTTATCACTTTGGTCAAAGCAACGGCCATCTTTTCACCTGGTTGATTATAATAGCCTTCTAACTAGTCTCATTGATTCAATCCTTGCTCTCCTGGTGTATTTTCTTATAAGAGTCAGTTTTCCTCCAGATATCCTCACGTCTTTGCTCAAACATCTTCTCAATCAGGCCTTCCTTGACCACACTCTTTAATACCAGAACTCCCACCTTCTACTTGCTGGTGAGCTCCATTTCCTTCTTTATTTTTCTCTGTAGCTCATCTTCTAGTGTGCTCTGTAATTTACTTATTTGGTTTGTTGTTTGTCTTCCTGCACTTGAATGTGAGTTCCATCAAGGTAGGGATGTTTGTCTGATTTGCTCAACAATATTTGCTCCGTAATCTGGAATAGTGCCTAGAACATAACAGAGTGAAGTAATTTGTTGGATGAGTGTTCCTACTCAGCTGTTTTGCTGTTATAAATTGTTAAGGATGATCTATGAAGCAAAACCTGTTAGGTTTAAGTTTTACTGTATTCTCTAAGCCAGCTAACAATAACTAGATTTAAGACTGTCTTGTTAACTTATTATAAATAAGGTATGTACATTATAATTTGTAGCAATTGTTCAATGATATTAGTTTCTTTTTTGTGTACATTTTCTTCTTTCCGTTGCCTCAAATTTCAGGCATAAGAACAAAGGGACAATACAATTGATTTTTATCGATATATTGGAATTACCTAATTTAGTTGCTTTAATAGAAATTCTTTGGTTAATATTTATTATTTATTCTTTATATTTGAATAGTGTCAAGGTGCAATATTTAGTGGTATGTTTTCAGAGGATGTAAAATAATCTTGCTGATGTTTTAAACATTTTTTCCTTGGAGCATAATGATGGTGCTAGCTTAAGTCAAGAGCCAGGTGATAAAGCCATGACTGGCCCACATTTTTTTTTTAGTATGATTACATTATATTATTATTATGGTGGAGTTGACAAAATCAACACACCTCAGAGAAAGAGGGTAACATGCTTTATGAAACTGTTTATGTTCTGTCTATTCTAGAGTTTAGACAGTGACCAATTTATACTGTATTAAGAGCATTTAGAAAGGTCATGGGGGCAATTAGGAATGGTCATGACACTGGCCTTTCTAGTTCTTTCATTAACTTTCCATGAAACTGAACATTATAATTGATACTATCTATGAAATAGAAATAAGGGCTACCTAATCATCAGTTACTGCAAGAGTTTTGGCAGAGCAGGGGCAATACGGGAGTGAAAGCACATACATGCAAAAAGTTGATTTAAAAGTTTTCATTTCCTCCAAAACTTTGAGATCTTATTGTATAGTTTTAATATCTTGCAAATCCTTTTTTCTGATATACCTGACAACTTTAATAGGTTCTAAAATGTCCACTTCAGGGGCGCCTGGGTGGCTTAGTCGTTAAGCGTCTGCCTTCGGCTCAAGTCATGATCCCAGGGTCCTGGGATCGAGCCCCGAGTTGGGCTCCTTGCTCAGCGGGAAGCCTGCTTCTCCCTCTCCCACTCCCCCTGCTTGTGTTCCCTCTCTCACTGTGTCTCTCTCTGTCAAATAAATAAATAAAATCTTTAAAAAAAAATAAAATGTCCACTTTATTCTGTCCTAATTGTCCTTAAAGATAGTAGCTAACTTTGCTGCACTCCAAACACATCATCTCGGTCATCCTTCCAACCCTGCATGGTAGGTACTACTAACAACATTTTAATTGTATTAGAGTAGTAGATACTCTCAATTCTCTGAGGTTTGTAAGGCTGTTTACCTTATACAAAGTGGCTTTATATGTTTTAAAATTCCTTTTATCTCTTCCCTTGCTATTTTCTGTTGTCTCTTGCCCTATCACTGTTTTAATGCCTATCCCTGTCTAATTTGCTATGTGTGCAAGTAAAACCAGTAATACTTTGTTAGAGTTTTGTATTTAAAATTTTAAAGTAACTAAGCTTATTAGTGCATTTGCAATGCATGAATCTCATATACACTTCTGTTCTTTTCTCATTCTTTGCCCCGACCTGTTGGGTAGTCAAGGTTAAATGGCTTTTGAGTAAATGATATTTTACTTCAGCGTGTCCAAAGGGATAAATGAATGTAATTTTTCTTGCTTACCCTGGCATTTGTATTTGTATTCATGCATTTCAGAAGCCTCATCCCTGTTGCATGTTTGCTGAAAGTTGGGCACCTTAACAGTGTTTTCTATTTTTCAAGATGTATTATCTGCCCCATCAAAATTGCTTAGAAGTTGACTGTCATTATAGTCAGAGCAGTTTGACCTGGACCTCAGAGATCCTGACAGTGGGCTTATAGGAACATTTTGTTCCTGTCAACTTGACTTTGAAAATTAGACCTAATCCACTTTTCACAACTGAATATACAGATAGCTTACAATTATTACATTTTTAAAAAATACTCTCTACCACATGAATAAAATGTCAGTTCCAGGCACAACGGAAAAAAACACCATCTGTGAAATGAATTGACTATGACAGCACTTAGAGATGTTCTTAACATTTTTTTTTTAAGATTTTATTTATTTATTTGACAGAGAGAAAGGGAACACAAGTAGGGGGAGTGGGAGAGGGAGAAGAAGGCTTCCTGCCGAGCATGGAGCCCGATGGGGGGCTCGATCCCAGGACCCTGGGATCATGACCTGAGCCGAAGGCAGCCGCTTAACCGACTGAGCCACCCAGGCGCCCCGATGTTCTTAACATTTTTGACTGTTTTCTTCTTTAGGTTATTTTCCAGGTTAAGGCATCCAACAGAGTGTTATGAATACATATGAAATTTAAATTATCTTTTTTACATGTTAATATAAAAACTTTTTACGTTTACCCCTTTGCATTATTGAATGCCCATTGTCATAGGTAGCTGAGAATGGTCTTTTAACTTTCCTAACATATTTTTTCCCTTCAGTACTCAAAATAAGTCGAGACATATTTAATTATTCATATCAGTATTCTTTAACCTAAAATTCTAATAAATTTAGAAGTATTATGATAATGTAAAAGTAGTGCATTCTAAACTTTATCCTTTGTTCTACTATATAGGTATTCCAGGTATTGAATGAAAAGAAACAGATACATGCCATAAAATACGTGAACTTAGAAGAAGCAGATAATCAAACAATTGAGAGTTACCGGAATGAAATCGCTTACTTGAATAAACTACAACAACACAGTGATAAGATCATCCGACTTTATGATTAGTAAGAATTTTTTTTAATTTGAAAGGAAAACTATTTTTGCTATAATTCTTTAGACTTAATAAATCTTAATAGTATAACCTAACCATGTATTGCTTTGTTTTTTTTATTTGTTTTTAATGGCAGTGAAATCACGGACCAATACATTTACATGGTAATGGAGTGTGGAAATATAGACCTAAATAGTTGGCTTAAAAAGAAAAAATCCATCAATCCATGGGAACGCAAAAGTTACTGGAAAAATATGTTGGAGGCAGTTTACACAATTCACCAACATGGTATTTTAAAATCTCTTTATATGCAGAGTTATAATAATCATTAATAATGTCATCTTAGAGAAATACACCATTAATTTTTAGGTATTTGTTATTGGCACCTTTAGATAAATATTTGGAAGCTCATTTAAAGATGAAAGGACAAAAAAACCATTTCCCTAAAGCACTGTTTACCAAAGGGTATAGTGCATGCATCCATAATGCAAAATGTACCCATATCTTTATTAGTATTAACATAGTCCATTATCCTGGGTCTCCAAATAGTTCAGTTATAGCAGATCTGAGACTTTGCGGTTCAGGCATCTCAAAAATCTGAGATGTTTATTTCTCATTCTCCTGGTCATTTTGTATTGTGTGCCCTGTCTGGGAGTTGGTTTTATTCTTTTTCAATTGTTAGCCCTAAGTTGTTTTTTTACTTTACTTGGACTTGGTTCTTTTTAGGGCTTCTCTGCCTTTGCTGTATCCTTTTTTTAAAAACAACTGTTAACCTAAATAATTGTAATTTTTTTCCCCTCATGTCTCCTATAAGTTAAAAGATAATTCACCAGAGATTAAGATCAGGGTTGTAGGGATAGAGGTGTCAGGGGCATTAGGGTCTTAACCACTTGGCAGTATAATTTATGATGTTATGTAGTGGGTGGTGAATCAGTGGTTTTAAGATCATTAACTCTCAAGCCAGATTGCCAGGGTCAAGTCATAGCCCTGTCACTTAGGCTATATGATCTTGAACAAATTACTTAAACTCTTTGCCTTAGTTTCCTCTCTTAAAAGTGGGGATAATAATAGTACAGTACTTAACCCAGTGCTGGTATGAGAATTAAGTGATTCAATCTAAGCAGCAAACTTAGAAAGTGTCTGGCACATAGCAGGTGCTGTATCTTTTTAGAAAATATTAAAAATGAGCATTTAATTTGATTGACTAAAGGAATCAACTCAGCCAGTAGGTTGTGAAATTTTTTTGTACTTAGAATATTTTACATTGTCTAATATTACAATGGATTTTTATTTTGAAGGCATCGTTCACAGTGATCTGAAACCTGCTAACTTTCTGATAGTTGATGGAATGCTAAAGCTAATTGACTTTGGGATTGCAAACCAAATGCAACCAGATACAACAAGTATTGTTAAAGACTCTCAGGTAAGACGTAATGAATGGTTGGCTTCCACACACTACAGTTCAGTTCCTTTTCACCTGTACTTTGCTAACGGGGATTTTATTTTTTCCTACTTCATTCTTCAAAGGATTTGAAACCTTTGTATAAGAATAAATACTATAAGAATCAGAACCATATTTAATACACTTTAGTATAAAAAGTCAAGATTAGGTAGAAATAAATTGCGCAATTTTGGATGATTTTCCTATAGCTGAGGTAGGGAAGCAGTAATACCTGTCTTGGAGATCATCTTGGTCATGATCTTGAGTTCACCTGAAACTTTGTCTCAGAAATACCTGGTAACAACCAAAGAGGAAATAGAAATTACATGTTTTTCATTGTCCATGAGGTAAGATTATTTCATTCTTCTGGAGAAGTAAAGCTTTTCCTATCACTTGCATTTGAAAAAATTCTTTTTTTTAAATAACTTTTTAAAAAAGATTTATTTACTTATTTTAGAGAGAGAGCGAGCAAGCACAAGTGAGGGGAGGGGCAGAGGGAGAGAATCCTCAAGTAAATTCCCCACTGAGTGGGAAGCCCAAGGTGGGGCTTGATCCCAGAACCCTGAGATCATGACCTGAGCCAAAATCAAGAGCAGGCTGCTTAACTGACTGAGCCAGTCAGGCGCCACTGAAAAAAATTTCTCAAGTGGGCCTTCATATTGGAAACACCATAATGAATACTGTACTCAACTGCATTTTTCTAATAGGGTATGTAATCACAAACTTAATAAATTTGTCCCCATAAAAACTAAGGTGATGACACCAAAGAATAACTAAAAGTAATCCTGCTTGGAGCCAAGATGATGTGTTCCACGTATGCAGATTTTTGATGGGGATCTGCCATCCTAGAAGTAAAGCTAGATCATTTTTAGGAGGAACAGATGGACGGCATGCCCTTGAAACAATTCTATTTGACAGTGACTTCTCTTTGTATCATAAATATGGCTGAACATTGGGGCTTCTGGGTGGCTTAGTTGGTTAAGTGTCCGACTCTTGATTTTAGCTCAGGTTGTGATCTCAGGGTCATGGGATGGAGCCCCGGGTCAGGCTCCCTGCTCGGCGGGGAGTCTGCTGCTCTCCATCTCCCTCTGCTCCCTGCCCCTGTCCCTGCTCATACCCTCACGTGCAGATGCTCTCTCTCTCTCAAATAAATAAATGGTAAAAAAAAAAAAAAAAAAAAATACGGCTGAATATTTAGTTGTAAATCAGTTTGAAGATACCCTCTATGGCAAGGTCCTAAAGTACAGGTATTCTGTGTTTGAAAACAGAACCATTTGTTTTAAAATAAAATAAATGCCTCATAAAGTTGGCATAATCCGACTGTGGAAGCTCTTGCATGATTTACATACCTGCCCCATCTCACTCTGGACATAGGCCCAGGGAATACTTGGAGACATAGCTAGAGTTTTGATTGGTTGGTTGGTTGATTTTTTTTTTTTAAGCATTCTAGGTCTATTCCAGCACAGAAATGAGTGATTGATATCAATTCCTTCAAAGCTTATGGCTTTTAGTATAACTTTAGTCTCGACAGTTTTATGGTAGTTGTTCTCCATCATCATAGAAAAAGCTCAGCATTCTGAATGGAATAATTTACTGATTATGAATCTAATTTGCTGGAGTTGTGAAGAAATTTATGTCCTAATATTGTTGTCAGTTACTTGAGTTTTTTAAAAAATTACTGCAATATGTAATTATTCAAGTTTCCAAGAGTCTGACATTTGTGTTTTAAAAAAGCTAAGGCAAAATAAGGTATTTTCATTGATTTGTGTTTTCTGTGATTTGGCATACAGGTTGGTACAGTTAATTATATGCCACCAGAAGCAATCAAAGATATGTCTTCCTCAAGAGAGAATGGGAAATCCAAGTCAAAGGTACTGTGAAGGTTATTTACATCCCATTTATTGGGCATCAATAGGGAATGGGCTATTCTCTGATTAAACTTAACAGCCAACTCAAAGTTGCTCAAGGTCTAAAACTTTTTAGGTCATTATAGAGACCTTGCTTTCTTAAGCAAATTATCATGGGATTCAATTTTACTGTTATTTATTGATTTGAGACTGTTCTTTTAATATTGTGCTTTTAATATGGTGGTGTCTCAACAGTGTGCTCCACTAAGAAATGTTCCCAGGATACTTTTAAGTTTTAAAATTAAAGGTAGAAATTAAGACTAAATTATCTCTGATTTGGAGCCCTTAAATGGTATTGAACTGATAACCTTTGAAGTCTTTTGTTTCTTCTTTGATTCTTACGTTTTATCTCTTACCATTTATTCATTTGCGAATTCTGCATTTCCAAGTATAATTCTAGTCTGTAATTTTTTCCCAGCCTGCCACAGGCTACTTTCCCACTTACCTTATTTCACCACCTCAGTGAGCTTTGTGTTAGCCTCATTGGTGTTCTTGTTGGGGTCCTTTTGCCTGCCAGGATGCCTCTGGCTTCCGAACTAACCCTTCTTGCTCTGGAGCAGTGTCACAAAGTGCATGCAAGCACACATTGTTGTACAGGGACCTGCATTCAAGCAATAGATCTGCCTCTTCGTTAACAACTGTCTTTGTGACTTGACTTGCCTACTTTCTTTTTCTATAAATTAGGTTTACAAACAGTACCTATTAAAAAGTAATTGAGGGGCGCCTGGGTGGCTCAGTTGGTTAAGCGTCGGACTCTTGATTTTGGCTCGGGTCATGATCTCAGTGGTGAGATCAAGCCCCGCATCAGGCTCCGTGCTTAGCACAGAGTCTGCTTGGGATACTCTATCTCTTTCTCTCCTCTCTCTCTCTGCCTCTTCTCCTCCCCCTGCTCTCACCTACGTGTTCTCTCTCTCCCCAATAAATAAAATCTTAAAAAATATTTATTGTAGGGGCACCTGGGTGGCTCAGTCGTTAAGCGTCTGCCTTCGGCTCAGGTCATGATCCCAGGGTCCTGGGATCGAGCCCCGCATCGGGCTCCCTGCTCCGCGGGAAGCCTGCTTCTCCCTCTCCCACTCCCCCTGCTTGTGTTCCCTCTCTCACTGTGTCTCTCTCTGTCAAATAAATAAAAAAACTTTAAAAAAAAATTTATTGTAATCCAATAATTTTGGAGAAAACAAGTAAATTTAAAACTTGCAGTTTTTTAGTTTTTATATTTTCAGAAACTGCAAGAACATAATATACGTTTCAGTTGAAATATTTTAATTATAAGTTTGTTGAGAGACTTAAAGCTCATCTCTTGATAAAATAACGAAATATAACAAAAACTAGAAAAATATTTTCATGTAAACCTAATCTAGTATCTGCCCATTCATTGAGCTTTAGTTATGATTTTAAATGTTAGGGATTATATGTGTAAGTGTGTGTGTATAAAATATTCTTACATTTACTTTTATGTTAAGATTATGGTAACTTACTATTCTTTTTTTTTTTTCTAATTAGATAAGCCCCAAAAGTGATGTTTGGTCCTTAGGCTGCATTTTGTACTATATGACTTATGGGAAGACACCATTTCAGCATATAATTAATCAGATTTCTAAATTACATGCCATAATTGACCCTAATCATGAAATCGAATTTCCTGATATTCCAGAGAAAGATCTTCAAGATGTGTTAAAGGTAACATTAATAGTATATGGATATAGAAGAACAATATTTCATGTACTTAAATTGTTTGCTTAGAAGAAATAGTTGAACTCACTGGAATTATGTAACTGGCTTCAGTAGATATATCTGGTCTATTGGAAGGAATTGCTGAATGAATTAGCTTTTTAAGTCATGTTAAGTTCACTTTGAAGGTGTTTGAAAACTTATGAATACTTGGGGATTTTGCAAAAATGACTTGTGAAGTAATCTTGTTACTTCTGAGTAGGCTATCTGGAAAGCAACTTCTGTAGTATGATACAATCTTGAAAGACACTTTATATCAATATTACATAAGAAAACTTGATTTTTTTTAAATTCTTATTTGTATAGTGTTGTTTAATAAGGGACCCTAAGCAGAGGATATCCATTCCTGAGCTTCTGGCACATCCATATGTTCAAATTCAAACTCATCCAGGTACTTCTTTGAAAATCAGTTTATTAGTAACTACTAATCCAAACAGATGTATAGCTGTAACAGAAAACAATATGAATCGGCTTCTCTTTTCCAGCCTGCTTCCTTCTGTAAGGAAGTTCCTTTTATGCTAAAATCCTAAAGTAAATGAAATTACTTTTTAACTTGCTGGCATTCATATTTACTTACTCTAGGTAAATGGCTATGATTAGTGATAAATTACAAGAAGCCAGTTATTGTGCTGTTAAACAGAATGTATTTGTATGTGATTTTATATTTTTTATTGGTACGGCATTTTATTGATTATATTTTTTGGTAGGTAACCAGATGGCTAAGGGCACCACTGAAGAAATGAAATATGTTCTGGGCCAGCTCGTTGGTCTGAATTCTCCTAACTCCATTTTGAAAGCTGCTAAAGTAAGAATGTCTATTCTCTTTCTACATTACTTTTAAATGTGTTCTGTAGTTTAGTGAATAGACACTTAAGCAGGTAATCCAAAGAAAAGTTGGTCCAATCATCAGATCAACTATGAAGTATATTTCTACATTTAGATACTTAATGAGTGCTTTTTGACAAATACAGACTTAGTTGATTTACATTCTTATTCTGCAGATAATTGAAAGTATATTATCATATTAGGTGCATTCCTAAAATTGCTGTCAGGTCTCGATTGGAATAAATTTCAAAAGGAATTTGTCGTTTAAATCAACGACATTCTTAACATAGCTTTTGAATTCATTTCTTCTAGCCATTTTTTTTTTTCAGAAGCCATCTTGGAGAAATCTCAGTATTTGTTACATGTAATGACTTGAAGCTATGTACAGCAGTCAGAACATTTCTCAAAGCAAATGTCTTAGACCTACCTTTCAGCCTCCCAGTGTTTATTTCTACCTATACCACCATTTTTTGATCTTGTTGCCGTCAAACCCCTAGTCATTTCTAGAACCCTATGTATGCTTATTGACCAACTGGGTTAGTTACCAAGCAGTTACTAATTATTTATTTCAGTAATAATGTTATTATAAAATTATGGGAGCTTAAATTAAAGATACTCTTAGCTCTCTGGGTAGGGTAAAGCCAATCTAAGATGTCAAGAACTTGGATACATTCTGCAGGAATTTACTATATATTCGCTATTATATTTGCATTCATGACATAAAGGTAAATTTTTTTCTTAAATTTTCTTAAGTGCTCGTGGTTAAATCAATGGCTTTAGGAATTCAAATTGGACAAAATTTGTTTTATAATTTTACTGTATTTCATATCTCCATGTTTTAAATTTCTACCAGTATATTGTTTAGAGCCTTTTATAAATAAAATTGAGATGAATTAGTTACCTTGACTACTAAGGTTATGTAAGTTCCTTAATGATAGAGATGTCTGTTATCTTTATAAATTAAATGTTGGCTTAGCCTTAAATCTTTTAAAATATGTAGATTGTAATATAGCTAATTGTGTTTATTTATATAACAATTTGTATTTTTTTAGTGTAATCTGTTTATTAGTTGAAATATCATCTGAAACTATATTTCCTGATGAGTATATTTTAAAGTGTAGCAATTTATCTAAGACTGGCTTAATTAAAGAAAAATATGGGAGAGCAAGAAGGCCTTTAAGATATATATATATATATATATTTATTAATGGCTATGTTACATTTCTTTTATACAATGATGGAGCTGTATCTCATGATAGTAGATTTTTAGGCCAAGCTAGGTGCTTACTATTCTTAATTATCTTCAATAGTTTATAATTTTCTAGTTATAATAACAAGAGAGAAATTCATTACATTTTTTGTAGTTATCTTTATTCGTCTGATAATACATTGACTTTTAGAAGTTACAAAACAGGTGTGTGTTTTTCATTTCAGACTTTATATGACCGCTATAGTAGTGGTGAAAGTCATGATTCCTCGTCCTCCAAGACTTTTGAGAAAAAATGATTTGCAGCTACTCATAAATTGTCAGATATCACCTGTAAAATATATTGGACTGTTATACTCTTGATTCTCTGTGGAAATCTGCTCTTAAAGACAACTTCACCCTGAAATTATCAATGGCAGCAAAATTCAGTGGATTATCCTCAGAAGAAAACTGTAAAAATAATAACCACTAATGATACTGTATATATTAAGTTGTAGAATTGTTTTCTCTCTTTTATGCTTTTCTGTAAAGCTACTCTATTTGGTACCATTTCACACTTAGAATAGTGGGTGAACAACTGAAATATACCCTGAAGAACTATGTAAATAAAGCTTTGTAGCATAAAATGACACTAAAATGTAAAAATAGTATAATTATTTTCTTTAAGCAAATGTACTGCTGGTGTGGCAGCATAATTCTTAATAAAAACTGAATTAAGGGAAGACACAAGAGTAGATCTTAGTAAATGAACGTCAAGAAGAAAATTCCAAACGGTTTGAATTCTAAAATAGATTTCCTAATTGGTTTATGGTACTGATAGAGTCCAGAGTTTTAGGGCTGTACTTTGTTCTTTTAATTCCCTCTGATTCTTCGTAATATCTATTGCTTGGTGTTTAGAGTATCATGCTGGCTTCTGAGGTATAAGTTGTATAGGGCATGCCCTCACTGTGTGACTTGCTTGGTAATTGGTAATTACAAATGTATAGTCTTAGAGTCTTCCGGACTGAATCTACTAGACTCTTCCCCCCGCCCCTCTTCTTTTCTTTTTTTAGATTTCAATAGACTTTTTTTTTTATTATTAAGATTCTTTTTTAGATCAGGTTTAGGTTCACAGTAAAATTGAGGGGAATGTACAGAGATTTCCCATATAGCCCTTGCTCTCACACATGCAGTCTCCCTCATTATCAACATCCCCCCCCAGATTGGTACATTTGTTAAAAGTAATGAGCCTACATTGACACACCATAATAATCACCCAAAGTCCATAGTTCACATACAGTTCACTCTTGGTGATGTACATTCTATAGGTTTGGACAAATATATAATGACAAGTATCCATCATAATACTATCATATAGAGTATTTTCATTGCCCTAAAAATCTTCTGTGCTCCTCCTGTTCATCTGTCCCCTACCCCATAATCCCTGGCAATCACTGATCTTCTTTTTTTTTTTTTTTTTTAAGATTTTATTTATTTGACAGAGAGAGAGACAGCGAGAGAGGGAACACAAGCAGGGGGAGTGGGAGAGGGAGAAGCAGGTTTCCCGCGGAGCGGGGAGCCCAATGTGGGGCTCGACCCCAGGACCCTGGGATCATGACCTGAGCCGAAGGCAGATGCTCAACCACTGAGCCACCCAGGCGCCCCAACCACTGATCTTCTAATTGTCTCAACAGTGTTGCCTTTTCCAGAACATTATATAGTTGGAGTTATACAGTAGGTAGACTTTTCAGATTAGTTTCTTTCACTTAGAAAAATTCCTCTAGTTCTTTTCAGTGCCTAGTAATATTCCATTGTATGGATGCACCACAGTATCCATCCACCTACTGTATGTCATCGTGATTGCTTCCAGATTTTGGCAGTTACGAATAAAGCTGCTATGATCTGTGTGCAGGTTTTTGTGTGGACGTAAGTTTTCAACTGCCCGAGGAGCAGGTTTGATGGATTGATGGTAAGAGTATATTGAGTTTTGTAAGAAACTGCCAAACTGTCTTCCAAAGAGGCTGTACCATTTTACATTCCCTTCAGCAGTGAATGAAAGTTGCTCTACATCCTTGCCAGCATTTGGAGTTGTCAGTGTTCCAGATTTTGGCCATTCTAATAGGTATGTAGTAGTATGTAATTGTTCCTTTAATTTGCATTTCTGTGATGACACGTGATGTGGAGTATCTTTTCATATACTTCCTTGCCAGTTGATACTATCTTTGGTGAGATGTCTTTGGCTTATTTTTTAAATTGTGTTGTTTGTTTTCTTTTTCTTTTTTTTTTTTTTAAGATTTTTTTATTTATTCATTTGAGACACAGAGATAGAGAGTGAGAGCATGAGCAGGGAGAGAGGGAGAGGGAGAAGCAGGCTCCCCACTGAGCCAGGAGCCTGATGTGGGGCTTAATCCCAGGACCCTGGGATCTTGACCTGAGCCAAAGGCAGACGCTTAATCATCTGAGCCACCCAGGCATCCCGGGTTGTTTGTTTTCTTAAGGTTTAAGTTAGTTTTAAGAATTTTTCACATATTTTGGATAGTAGTCCTTTATCAGATGTCTTTAGCAAATATTTTTTCTCAGTCTGTGGCTTGTCTTCTCATTTTCTTGATACTGTCTTTCATAGTGCAGAAGTTTTTAATCTTAATGTGCTCCAGCTTTTCAATTGTTTCTTTCATGGATTGGGTCTTTGATGTTGTGGCCGAAAAGTCATCACCATATACCCAAGGTCATCTATTTCCTGCTGTTATGTTCTAGAGTATTACAGTTTGTTTTTTTTTTTCTTTTTCTTTTTCTTTTTTTTTTTTAAAGATTTTATTTATTTATTTGAGAGACAGAGAATGAGAGACAGCATGAGAGGGAGGAGGGTCAGAGGGAGAAGCAGACTCCCCGCTGAGCAGGGAGCCTGATGCGGGACTCGATCCCGGAACTCCAGGATCATGACCTGAGCCGAAGGCAGTCGCTTAACCAACTGAGCCACCCAGGCGCCCCTAGAGTATTACAGTTTTGCAGTTTATGTTACATTTAGGTTTGTGATCCACTATGAGTTAATTTTTGTGAAGAATGTAAAATCTGTCTCTAGATTCATTGTTTTGTATGTGGATGTCTAGTTATTGAAGAGACTGTCTTCTTTCCATTGTATTGCTTTTGCTCCTTTGTCAAAGATCAATTAACTATACATATATGGACGTCTATTTCTGGGCTCTGTTCTCTTTCACTCATCTGTCTATTCCCTCACCTATACCACACTGTCTTGGGTGCTGTCACTGTATAGTAAGTCTTGAGGTTGGCTAGTGGCAGGCCTCCAACTTTGTTCTTCTCCTTAAATATTGTGTTGACTGTTCTGGATTTTTTTGCCTTTCCATATAAACTTGAGGATTGGTTTGTCACTATCCATAAGAAAACATGCTGGGATTTTGATTGGCATTGCATTCAATTTGTAGATCAAATTGGGAAGAACTGACATTTTGACAATATTGAGTCTTCCTATCCATGAATGGAATATTTCTCCATTTATTCATCTTTGATTTTGTTCATCAGGGTTTTGTAGTTTGTTTCATATAGACCTTGTATATATAATATGAGATTTATTCCCAAGTATTTAATTTTTGAGTGTCCTAATGTAAATGGTATTGTTTTTAATTTCAAATTCCACTTGTTCATTGCTATATATAGGAAAATGATTGACTTTTGTATATTAACCTTGTATCCTGCAACCTTTCTTTCTTTTTTTTTTTTTTTTAATTTATTTATTTGACAGAGAGATAGCACAAGTAGGCAGAGCGGCAGGCAGAGGGAAAGGGAGAAGCAGGCTCTCTGCTGAGCAGGGAGCCTGATGCGGGGCTCTATCCCAGGACCCTGGGATCATGACCTGAGCTGAAGGCAGCCGCTTAACCGACTGAGCCACCCAGGCGCCCCTATAATTGTTTATTAGTTCCAGGAGCTCTTTTGTGTCTTCTACATAGATGATCATGTCATCTGCAAACAAGACAGTTTATTTCTTCCCTCCCAATCTGCGTACCTTTTGTTTCTTCCTGTCTTTTTTTTTCCCCTAAATAATCTCTATACCCAATGTAGGGCTCCAACTCGCAACTCCAAGATTGGGTTGCATGCTCTGAGCCATCCAGGCTCCCCTTTTCTTGTCTTCTTACATTAGCTAGCACTTTCACTATGCTGTTGAAAGAAGTGTCGAGGGGACTTCCTTGCCTTGTTGCTGATCATAGTGAAAAAGCTTCAAGTTTCTCTCATTAAATATGCTAACTGTTTTTTTTTTTAATTTATTTATTTGAGAGAAAGGGGAGAAAGAAACTAAGCGGACTCCATACTGAGTGTGGAACCCCAACGCAGGCCCAATCTTAGGACCCTGAGATCATGACCTGAGCTGAAACTATGAGTCAGACAGACGGTCAACCTGCTGTGCCACCCAGGTGCCTTGCTGTATGTTTTTTTATAGATACTCTTTATTAAGTTGAGGAAGTTCCCCTTTATTCTTAGTTTCCTGAGAGTTTTTATCATGAATAGATGTTAGATTTTGTCAGTTGCTTTCTCTGCATCTATTAATAATGGTCATGTGAGTTTTCTTTAGTAGCCTGTTGATGTGATTGGTTACATTAATTGATTTTTGAATGTTGGACCAGCCTTGACTACTTGGTATAAAGCCCACTTAGTTGTGGTGTACAATTCCTTTAATACATTGTTGAATTTGATTTGCTAATATTTTACTGAAGATTTTTGCATCTATATTCATGAGACATATTGTTCTATAGTTTTCCTGTAATGTCTTTGGTTTTGGTATTAGGGTAATGCTGGCCTCATAACATGAGTTAGGAAGTATTCCCTCTGCTTCTATCCTCTGAAAGAGCTTGTGGAGAATTCATATAATTTCTTCCTTAAATATTTGGTAGAGTTTACCAGTGAACCCCTCTGGGCCTGGGAACCCATCTGGAAGGTAATGAATTATTGATTCAATTTCTTTAATAGATAGAAACCTATTCAGGTAGTTTATTTATTTATTTTTTTAAAGATTTTTCTTAATTTATTAGAGAGAGAGAGCACGAGCAGGGGGAGGAGTAGAAGGAAAAGCAGACTCCGCACTGAGCAGGGAGCCCAAGGTGGGGCTCAATCCCAGGATACTGGGATCATGACCTGAGCCAAAGGCAGATGCTTAACAGACTAAGCCACCCAGGAGCCCTGTTTATTCTTGTGAGTTTTGGCAAATTGTGTTTTTTAAGAAATTGGTCCATTTCATCTAGTTTATCAAATTCATGAGCATAGAGTTGTTCACAGTAGTTCTTTAGTATCCTTTTAATGGCTATAGAATCTATAGTTACGTCCTTTTTTTTTTTTCCTTAGGCTGACTAGAGGCTTATTGGTTTTTTTTTTTTTTAAAGATTTTATTTATTTATTTGACAGAGAGAGACACAGCGAGAGAGGAAACACAAGCAGGGAGAGTGGGAGAGGGAGAAGCAGGCTTCCCGCTGAGCAGGGAGCCCGACGCGGGGCTCGAGGGGCCCCTGACACGGGGCTCGAGGGGCCCCCGAGGCTTATTGATTTTATTTATCTTTTCAGAGTCAGCTTTTGGTTTCAGTGATTTTTCTCTATTGATTAACTGTTTTCAATTTCAACTATTTCTGCTCTAATTCTATTATTCCTTTCTTCTTTGGATTCAGTTTGCTTTTCTTTTTTTAGTTTCCTAAAGTAGAAACTTAGATCATTGATTGTAGAACTTTCTTCTTTTCTAATACATGCATTCAGTGCTATAAATTTTTCTCTATGTACCACTTTGCTGCATCCCACAAATTTAGATAAGTTGTGTTTTCATTTTCATTTATTCAAAATAATTTTTAATTTCTCCTGAGGGTGTGACCATCAGAAGGCAGAAATCATCATGGTCCATCTTTGAGGCTCCCTATCACTAAATGTTAGCTCTTTTTATGATTATTTTTTTCCAATTTTTAAAAGTTTGGCCTTAGGAGGGTTGCTCTAAATTACCTTTCCTTTGTTCTTTAAAAATAATTTTATCACATATGTATATATTCTTGAACAATATTTGTTCTTGTCTTGTATTTAATCTGTTTTAAAAAAATCAGATATTCTGTGCAAAGATAATTCCTAACCAGGAGCCTATTTTCTATTACTGTTAAGTGGAAAAATTACAATTTATTACATGTTTCCTAGAACAATAAAATACTCTTAAATAAGGGACAAGCTATCAAGTTAGCATGACAATATATAAATATGTTTAAAATACCACCTTTTGGTTGCTAAATTATGTTTATTTTTGCCTTATATATTTTGAGGCTATTTCACTAGGTACATGCAAACTTAGAATTTTTTTATCTTCCTGGTTAAGTATCATGTTTACCATTTCATAAGGATCTTCTTAATTTCTAAATATGTATTTATTTCTTCTAAATGTGGCGTTTTCTGATTTCTCTTGGTTAATAGTTCCCTGGTGTGTGAGTGTAATTAAAATTCAACTTTTTTTTAATTCCAATGATTTTTTTTTCTTTCTTTTTTTTTTTTGGATTTTATTTATTTGAGAGACAGTGAGATCTAGAGAGATAGGGCATACGCACAGAGGGAGAGGGAGAGAGAGAAGCAGACTCCCCACTGAGCAGGGAGCCCGATGCGGGGCTTGATCCCAGGACCCTGGGATCATGACCCAAGCCCAAGACAGACGCTTAACCCACTGAGCCACCCAGGTGCCCCTATAATTCAACTTTTCTGTGGCCTTTTAGGAATATCCCTTGTAAATAACATACCTGAATTTTACTTTATATCCAATCACTGGTAATTTGTCTCTTTTA